AATGATCACAAGTGAGCTTTTGATGCATTCTTGAATTTTGTTTTCAAATGATTTTTGGTCACTATTTCATGTTGGATATTAGTTTGCCATTTTCTTTTTTCTTGAAATCTTTAACTGATTTGGTCCGACTTGACACAAACTTGAGTCATCTGTGTAGAAGGAACCTTAATTGAGGAAATGTGTCCATCACATTGGCCTATAGTCATGCCTATGAGACATGATCTTGATTAATGATGGAGGAGGCAGATTACTGTGGGCCCTGCTATTCCTGGGCAGGTAGTCTTGGCTTGTATGAGAAAACACTATGGAAAGCAAGCCAGTGAACGGTGTTCCTCTATGGTCTCCCGTTCAGTTCCTACCTGCAAATTTTATGTCTTGAGCTTTTGTTTGGCTTTCCTCAGTGATTACTGCAATTCATACATTTAAATAACAATATACCCAAGTCTCTTTTATTCTGTTTTCTTTTATAACCCCAGAGCAACAGAAAGCAAACCAGAACAGAAATTTCTACCCGTGAGTGGGTATTTCTGTGGTGTTATTTGGAAGGGTGTGGGGGCGGCTGCTGTGGGGAGTTTTGAAACTCTAGGCTAAAATGTACCATTGATTGCTTGGAGATTAATCATTTATTGAGACTGGGAGATAGGAGTGCAGAGGGGGGCCCAGACGAGGGAGGCCTGTCTTGTGAAGTTTCAGAGGGAAGCAAGGAGTGTATCAGAGTCAGTTATGTAATACCTTGATTAGCAACCTGTGTAAGTAAAAACACTTTCCTTTATTGGATAATTGGTGCTGGATGTCTGGCATGGAAAGTAATCAGCAGTGATTAATAAGAGACCAGCATCATTGTGGTGAAGTCTTCTGGGAGTCAGCAAACAGAAGCTGTGGTCCAGTGAGGAGCGTAGATTACACTTCCAGTTCCCAGCAGACCGTGTCAGATGGTGAACTGAACAGAAGTCTCTCGCATGGTGCCTTTGAAACGGGGTCAAAGAGAGCCGCTGAGTCTCAACACTGTGTGGCAGGTTTAGAGGCTCCCTGCTGAGGCCAGAACATGCCATTGGTTAGTATGAAGCTTCAGTTTCAGTACACAACAGGAGACACTGGTTCACATAGTTTTTAGGATTGATAACTACTTTTCTTTCCCGTAGTATATATGGAAATCTAGTCAGCATAGCTGAAGTTTACCAGTCAGTATTAGCATAATTTCTTCATTTCCTATGACTCAAATGTCTTCAGTAATACTGTTACCACCAAGTTCTGGAGAGCATCTAAGAGCAATTGCAATGTATTGCAAGAGTTGGTAGTGAACTATAGGATCCACTGATTAACAAATTGTAAAAAGTTACCTCTTACCTGGCACTGAGCCTTTTCTTTAAGAGATGATGGTGTCTGAGAGAGAAATTGTTTCCCTGATAACAACTCTGCTTAAATCATTTTCAAATAATTTAGGAAGCATATAAAATAGTACATTTCTATAAGACTTTTAAGAGGCTTTTGTCTCCTTTAGGAGACAACACACACACACACACACACACACCATCTGGGGTCCTCCTGTTACCTCGCCTTCCTGGGACTGTGGATGGTAGTATGGTTATCCTTTATTTTCCAGCTAATATCCATTTATGAAAGAGTACATACAATGTTTGCCTTTCTGAGTCTGGTTTATGTCAGTTGGGATGATTTTTTTTCTAGTTCCATCCATTTGCCTGCAAATTTCATGAGGCCATTGTTAACAACTGAGTAATATTCCAATGCGTATGTACCACATTTTTCTTTATCCATTCTTTGTTTAATGTTTTCAAGTTCTGACTATTATGAATAAAGCTGCTATAAACATAGTTGAGCAAGTATCCTTGTAGTATTATTAAGCATCCTGTGGGTATATGCCCAAAAGTGGTATAGCTGTGTCTGGAGGTAGATTGATTCCCAATTTTCTAAGAAACTGCCATATTGATTTCCAAAGTGGTTATACAAGTTTGGACTCCCACCAGCAGTGGAAGAGTGTTCCCCTTGCTCCGCTCCACATCCTCTCTAGGATAAGAAGTTATTTGTGATTTTGATCTTAGGCATTCTGACAGGTATAGATAGATTCTCAGAGTCTTTTTGATTTGCATTTCCATGATGGATAAGATGTTGAACATTTTTTAAAGTGTATCTTGGCCATTTGAGATTACTCTATTGAGATTTCTCTGTTTAGATTAGTAGCCCATTTTTTATTGTATTTTTGTTTTTCCATGTTTAGTTTCTTAAATTCTTTATGTATTTTAGAGATCAGCTCTCTGTTGGATGTGGAATTGATGAAGATCTGTTCACATCCTGCAGACTGGCATTTTGTTTTATTGACAGTACCTTCTGATTTATAGAAGCTTTTCAGTTTCATGAGGTCCAGTTTATTAATTGTTGATCTTAGTGTCTGTCTTATTGGTGTTGTGATCAGGAAGCTTTATCCTGTGCTAATGCATTCGAGGCTATTTCCCACTTTCTCTCCTATCGGGTTCAGTGTAAGTGTATTAATTTTGAGATCTTTGATCCAGTGGGACCTGAGTTTTGTGCAGGATGATAAATTCTGATCTATTTGCATTCTTCTACATGCAGATATCCAGTTTGATCAGGACCGAAGATGCTTGACTTTTCCTCCATTGTGTAATTTTAGTTTCTTTACCAAAAATTGGGTGTCCACGGGTATACACTCTCATCCTCTCCAGAATTAGCTTTCGCTGTGTTTTTTAACTTAGCCATTCAGATAGGAATGGAGCAGAGGAGCATTAGGCTTGTTAAACATAATGGAGATCCCACTACCAATACAAAGTTCATTAGAAACTTAAAAAGCGATCGTAGTGTAGTGTGATAACAATCTGAATAAAGGCAGCCAGCTACTCTTAATAGCCCAATGAATGAAACAGAGTAGTGTAGTGGCTATGTATGTATATGTCTATCTCTCTGTCTCTCTCTGTCTCTCTCTCTATATATATATATATATGTATATGTACATATACATATACACGTATCCATTGATCTCTCTCTCTCTCTCTCTCTGTGTGTGTCTGTGCAAGTGCTAGTATTTCACAAATAAGCAGCAAACTTATCATGCTGCTGTTAAGATGAGCAAAAATGCTCAAACTGCAGGGAAAAAATTAAATGAAAGTAATGAAGACAAGGGTTGATTACCAACTGAATTCACAGACACGGATAAGTTTCCCCGAGTTTGCTTAGCTTTAAACAAAAGCACAAAACAGGTTAAAACAACCATTTGGGAAACAGCAGCAATATCAACCAAGACATCAGAACATGTGACAATGGTTGTCGTCCTCTTGGTGGAAATGAGTCTCTTTGCTCAGGTGTTGGTGCTGACAGAGGTGTGGGTCCTATAGTAACAGAAATGAGTAGGCCTGCATATTATCAGCTCAGATGGCTTCCTAGGTTAAGCATGCAGTTTTTGTGTAGGCTAATGATGCACTTTAAAATATGAAAACAATACTGTGAATAATTCTGACTCCCGTATAGTATTGGCTAGGTGTCATCTCAGATTGAGAATCATTGTCTGAAAGTACATGAAATTTTAACTTTTAAAATTAAAGTATAATTGTGTAATTTTCAGCTTCCATTTCTCCCTGAAACTCAACCCAACCCATGTATTTCTCTAATTCTCTCTCAAATTACACACACACACACACACACATATCCACTCACACATATGGTTGCATATACATATATATATATGTATGTATACATAAATATATACACATATATGCATATGGTTAAATATATAAAGACAAGCCGGGTGGTAGTGGCACACACCTTTAATCCCAGCACTCAGGAGGCAGAGGCAGGCGGATCTCTGTGAGTTTGAGGCCGGGCTGGACCGACAGCCTCCAAAACAATACAGAGAAACCCTGTCTCATAAAAAACCAAACAACAACAACAATATATATATATATAAAGACAACCTGCTAAGTTCATTTAGCGCTACTTGTATGTACGTGATTCTAGGGCTGACAACTTGATATCAGCTAATTAGGAGATTAATAGTTGTTGTGAAATATTGACTTAATTATGTAAAAGTATTTGTTTATGCTCCATTTGTTTACCTATGTAAAGATGTGTTGCATTTGTTGCCTAAGGCACCTGATTGATCTAATAAAAGCTGGACAGCCAATAGCTAGACATTAGAGGGACAGGTGGGGCTGGTGGGCGGACAGAATAAGGAGGAGGAGGAATCTAGGCTCCAGGGAAAATGAGAAAGAAAAAAAGGGAGATGTCCAGGGCCAGCCAGCCAGATAGACACTAGTCATCCAGATACAGAGGAAGCAAGAAAATAGGATATACAGAATGTAAGAAAGGTAAAACGTCCTAAGGTAAATGTAGATTTTTTTAAAAAGCAGGTTAAATTAAGTTATAAGAGCTAGTGTGCAGGTGTAAGATAAGATGAAGAATTCATGTATAATAAGTCTCCGTGTCATGATTTGGGGACTGGTGATACAAGAAAGCCTGTTAAACATATCTGGCTTGATCTCACTAAATTACAAATAAGGTTCAGATATTTAAACTTCGGGACAATTTGTGTTGAAGGTGTTAGCCTTGCTCCCTAGTACACAGAAAAGGTGTATTAGTAAGTAATAAGCAGTAGACAGGCTCCATATGTAGTGAATGAAAACAAAAACTGATCTAGTCTACACTGAGGAAACTGTGTGTGTGTGTGTGTGTGTGTGTGTGTGTGTGTGTGTGCAGCACACAATGAAAACTCATGGCTGAAATACAGTGTAATGATCACTCCACACCAATGTCACAACAATGTCTACCTTAAACTTTCTCCTCTTTCGTCATCCTGTTCCTGTTTCTGCCTGGAAACTCATGCCCTTTTGAAACCATGCTCACACATTATTACCAAACTACTAGATTTGATTTCTCAGAGAGTATCTCTACACATGATATTAAAGATGACAACAAAATTATTGTCTCCATTTTATTGTATTGAAAATTAGCAAACTTAAGCAAATGTCCAAATATGCTCAACCACATTTATTCTAACTTGCAAATAGGTTTATCCAAAGTCCAAATCATGTTTAAACTCTTTAATATACATTGAACCATAACTTTCAGGTAACATTGCTAACTAATTGACTGCCTAGCTGGGCGTACCATTGATTTATAAGCTTTCTTCTAACCAACTAATATACTTATCTTTTATCCTCGAACCTAGATTTAAATAAACTGGGGCTGTGGCAAATGACACGGCTCCGTGGATCCCATCCTCCACATGGTCATGCGTGACCGGAACTCCAGCATTTCTGAGTCGGGTGACATAAATAAGTCCATCATCTCTCAGGATGTCATGCTCACACGTGAGGATGTAAGTTAATGGCAATCTCTGTAACTGGGAGTCACTTGCTATCAAAGGAGACACCTTACTGTAAGTAAGTTCTGGGTAGGAAGTGTTCAGTTTTCCAAAAATGGGCTCCTTGTAAACATGGATCATTCTATACTTTTCAGGAAGGAAGTCGCTCCAGTTAACACGTTTGAACAGGTGTCTTGATCCTTCAGGCATGTGCTCATTTCTCAGTATGGCCTTTGTTAGCTCTTCATCCTCTGCTATATATAGACATGACAGCTTAATTGCCATCTTCCTTGACAGAAAGGGGCCGTGTTCATACTCTTGATAAGATGGCGTCATGGTATCAATGGCCTGTAGTCCAGGGTACAACAAGGCTTGTGCCTTAAGCTTGTTTTTGTATTCTGGATCATCCTGCAGCTGTAAATAAAATACATAATGAATGTGAATGGAGTCAATTGCTTTAAAAAAAGTACTGGTAAGTTTGTTTTAACATCATCTGGAGGTAAATGAATTCATGAAACTGAAATGGTGATTCTCTCATAACGTTTACTCATTGCTTGAGAATTGGAATGCTGTTTGACCTTCTTCACACTTGGCAAGCAAACGGGACAATGACCTGAAGAATCCTACTGAAGATGATAGATGGTTATGTTTAAAGATATTTTTAGTTTTTGCTGACATGTTATCTATTTGTATCTAGAACATAGTGTCTTCCTGTGTCAGCCTCCCATGAGGTCTAAACATAGGCATGTGTCATTATACCCAGCTTGCTTATCTAAATTTTTGACCTACAGTAATCTAAGATAGCAGTAACAATGAATACAGCAAAACAGTGTATCAAAAACCCATTCAAATGGAGCATAGTCATTTGTTGTTACATGTTGCAAACAATCCTATCCTATGTCTTACTTTTAGTTCTTAGTATTATAACATGACAGGAAACACAAAGAAAAATTCATGAAAATCAGAAGAGCAGAAGAAAGTATGTGTTGGAGGCTGTGAGAGTTACAGCAGATGACATCAAGTGTTCAGATGTTAGCCCATCAGAGGAGTGATTTTCTGATGAGGTTATTCTTGTCCAGGCAAAATCGTTGATTGCTAAAGCAGCTTGGTGTCTCCCCAATAACTGCATTGTAGTTTCTAATCTCAAGTTATGTGTATAAGCAATCTCATGATTACATCTTAATCTTGTGGGCACATAGATCTGTTGATGGTCAGGAAGATGGGTTTTCATTATCTGTATAATTTTTATATATAGAAAATATACTAGGACATTTTTCACAGCTAGATCTAATTGTTTCATGAGGGCTGGAGACATTTAAAAGCCTGCTTTGTTACTTTTGTTTAGAGTAATTGTACACAATTATCTCACTTTTACCTCAGAGCAAGTTCAAACTAAACTAAAGGAGATGGGAGAAAGAGAGGGGGAGAAGAGGAGGGAAGAGGAGGACACAGGGGAGCAGGGAGGTTGAGTCAGGGGAAGAATAGAGAAGAACAGGTTGAAAGATACCATAATAGAGGGAGCCATTATAGGTTAGAGGAGAGATCTGGCACTAGTGAGATTTCCAGAGATCTACAAGAATGACACCAACTGGCATTAAGGCTACCTTAAATGCCCTCCCCTGATAATGAGATTGATGACTACCTTATATGCCATCCTAGAACCCTCATCCAGTGGCTGACGGAAGCAGAGGCAGACACCCATGGCTGAAAACCGAACTTAACTCCTGGAACCCAATTGCAAAGGGGAGTGATGAGCAAAGGACTCAAGACCCTGCTGTCGAGAGACAGATCTAAGCAAGGGGGAAGGCATGGACCCCAGACTGATGACTGAGAGGCCAACATGGGACTGATCCAGAGCACCCCCCCCCCAGCAACCTGGGTGTCAGAGAGGAGGCCTTGGCAATCTATGGGACCTGGGAGAGTAAACTCAGTATTTATTCCTGGCATACAAGTGGACTCTGGGAGCCCATTCCACATGGAGGGATGCTCTCTCAGCCTGGATACATGGGGGAGGACCTAGGCCCTGCCCTAGATGATATGACAGACTCTGAAAATCCCTCATGGAAGGACTTACCCTCCCTGGGGAGCAGAGGGGGAATGGAGTGAGATTAGAGGTTAGGGGGCTTGGGGAGCCAGAGTAGGAGGGGAGGGAGAGGGAACTGGGAGTAACATGTGTAAAAAGTTAAGTAAAAAAAAAATAGATCATAAATTTAAAACTTTAAAGCTGTGTGCAGGTCATAGCTGCAGGTGTCTACACAAAGTGTCCTAAGAAAAGTATGCTAAGTTTTTGCTTGTCACGTCTAGCTGACGACAGACCTGTGTCTCAAGTTTGTCATTGGACACTGTGCCCCGCCCCCGGTCTGGTCACTGTCTGACTTCTATAACCTTGGAACCTTGTGTGGCCGTGGTTAAATGGCTCCGCTGCTTATTGATTGCACTAAGGATGTGCTTTTGACCAATGAGAGGTAACCCGTAATTATTTTTACCACTTCATCTACACAGTGGAGTACTATTCAGCAGAAAAAAGTAATGGAATCATGAGATTCGCAGGCAAATGGATGACACTAGAAGAAACCATCCTGAGCGAGGTAACCCAGTCACAAAAAGAGAAACATGGCATGTACTCTCTCATATATGGATTTTAGACATAGATCTGGGGAGTGCCTGCCTACAGTCACATGGCCAGAAAGTCTGGGAAACAGAAACTTCATTCAGTGGCTGATGGAAGAAGAGGCAGACTCCCACGGCTAAGCACTGAGCTGAACTCAAGAAATCCAGTAACAGAGAAGGAGGACTGATGGCCAAAGGGATTAAGACTGGGCTGGTTTAACCCCCAGAAACAGCTGACCAGACAAAGGTTAACTCTTGAATCCCAGGCATCAGCCTGGGAATCCAGCATGGGACTGATCAAGACCCCCTGAATCTGGGTGTCAGTGAGGAGGCCTAGGGAATCTATTGAGCCTTGGGCAGCAGATCAGTACCCATCCCAAGTATACACAGGGACTTTGGACTCCCATAGAACAATGTGAGGTGCACTCTCACCCTGAACTCTTGGGGAAGGGTCTAGGCCCGGCCCTATATGAAATGACAGACTATGGACACCCCCATGGAGGGCCTCACCCTCCCTGGGGAAATGAGGGGATAACGGGAGGGGGCTGGGGGGAGGGCACGGGAGGAGGGGAGGGAAAGGGAGAGGGACCTGGAACTGACTTGTGAAGCAACCTTGTTTCTTATCTAAACTTAAACTGGAAAAAAAAATTGACTAGAGCAATACAGAGAAACCCTCTCTCGAAAAGAAACAACAAAATGAAACTTTGAAATTTATATATAAAAAAAGTCTCCTGTGAGAAGGAGAGTTTTTTAGGAGAAGCTAGGAGGAATTAAAATCAGGACAGGAAAATTAGACCAGAAGCACAAATAAAATAAAATAATAAAGAGACTCGTTTGGAACAACACAGAGTGAAATGTGTCATTTGCCCTCGGATGCCCTAAGAAAAGTTCCTTTTGTTTGCCGTAGTGTCCAATCTGAGCCCTGAAGAAGGCCTTGGTGCTGGACCCAAAGTCCCTCGTCAATATGTAACCCGTCTTTGCCAGAAATGGAAAGTCTCCTGAGTTTGCAGCTGTACGAAGATTCTTTCCTTGCATTTTCTAGTCATGCACACTGCAGGAGGGAACCTACAGCAGGCCTCGAAGGGTCATGACGGAAGCAGAACATGTGCTTCCGGCAGCAGTGACACGGCCGCAAATGCATCTGCGGCCCTCGACAGAGAAGGTTCGGGATCTGTGTCCTCATCACAGAAGTTAATTTATACAAAACGAGAGGAAGACTCGCTGAAATCTCAACAGCGCATCACAAGGGGAAAGAGTATCTGACCAACTTGAAGATGCACAACGCACCATAGGTACAAAGTCCTGCCCTTCGGGAGGAGAACGAAGAAAGAAAATCTTCCCAAAAAGCTCTTGCCTGGTTCTTAGTCCTTCCCAGTGGACAGTTTTGCAAATAAAACGCAGTGTCTCAGAAAGTTCAGAGAATAAGCATCAGTGAACACAACAGTAAAACCGAGGCTGAGCCAAACGAAAGCTCATCCGTATACAAACAGTCACAGTGCCTGATGGAGTTAACACCTGATGGAGATGTTTGAGGCACAGGGAGAGTATACTGAAGTTTAACCTTTTCATGGTTTGTTGAGGTGTAGAAGAAACTAATTATTAAGTGAAATCTGAAGCCAGGGGTATGATTCAGTTGATAAAAAATCTTTGCCAGAACAGGCTAGAGACTGCAATCACGAAATCAAACATAAGCATGGTGGCAGCCTAGCCCCCCAGTGCTAGGGTGAAGGAAGATACATCTCACCCTTCTCTAAGGAGCTTAATTTAGTAGTTGATGGCTCCTGGGAAAGGGGGAAGTCACTTTTCTTTAAGGATGTAGCATCTGATGGCTTGTTGATGCTCGAGCAGAAAGCCAAACATCCAAGAATGTGTAAGTACAAACTGTACTTGATGGATGTCCTGATTAGCTTTTGTCAACTCAGCACAAGCTTGAGGTATCTGAGAAGAGACAGCTATTTGGGGAATGCCTCTTTTAAATAGTCCAGTGGCAAGCCTGTGGGGGCGTTTCTTAACTAGTGATTGACATGGGAGGGACCATTCTATGTGGGTGATGAAGCTTCTGAGCTGCGGTCCTAGATGTATATATAACAAAGCAGTCTGAGCAAGACGTCAAGCCAATAATAAGCAACATTCTTCCAGAAATTTGGAAATCTCTCAGACTCTATCATAGACATTCATGTAATATTTTGAAGTAAGAACCAGTAAAGTGAAACTTTTGTTTTCCTGGAAAAATCAATACTGATTTCTTGGGCTGAAGAATCAACTGTGATTAACAGGAGACTAGCACTACTGTGAGGTGGCACAATGTTTTTGTATGTTGGGAAGATGTGTTGCTTCCACAGGCTCTAGGATAGAGCTAACTGACCAATAGCTAGACAGGAAAAGATTATTCAGAGAGTCGGACGGAGAGAACACTGGGGAAAAAAAGAAGGGCATAGTCACCAGCTAGACAAAGAGGAAGCAACATGAGCATTGCAGAGAGATGAGACAATAAAGCCCTGAGACAAAAAGTAGACTGATTTAAAAAATGGGTTAAGTTAGAAGAACTAGTTAGGAACTGATAAAATGTAATGAGGAAAAATGAAAGTCCCCAACTAAGTGAGGGGGATCATATGATCAGAAGCTCAGACCCACAAGCAGCTGCGACAACATCTGCAACTACTTACCCAGAGAAGACTGGGAACCAAACAGCCTCTTACCCTATAGGTCGGTCGTAAAACTAGTACCTAGCCCACAATTGCAGGATGTGTTCCGGCCATGGAATCCCAGACCATAGATGTGCCAATTCTACCTAACCAAATGGCCACTATTGTCTTCTCAAGGTCCTTCGTCCCATGATAACCTTGATGTTCTAAGTAATCTCTGTAACCATGGGAGCCCTACTGAGACTTGTAGAACCCTCCTCCTGGTTTTCCTTAAAAGTGCCTTATATTTGCGGATGTGGGCTTCAACTCTCCCAACAGAGTTGAGCCCCAGCTAGCTGGTTTTCTGGAAACAAACAAACCTTCTTGTACTTGCATTCGGTGTTGTTAAACTCCTTAAAGTCTTGGGGTCCTATCCTAGTGGGCACAACAGGAACAAGCCTAAGTTATTGGCAAAGCTTTCATCTTAAGTCTCTGTGTGGTTATTTGGTAGCTGGCAGGAGGAACATAAAATTCTGCTGACACCACTGACTCCAAATCTTCTAGGAAGTATTTCCTGGGGGTCAGCACATAGAAGCTGTGGTTCAGAGGAGGCCGAGGTAGTACCTTGTGCTGGCAGCTCAACTTGGTATTATACAGTTTCCCATGTGGCACTCATGGGAATGAAAGGGTTGTGGGGAGCAACCAAGGTTTGGTAGGCATCATGAGGGCCTAGGGAAGCTAATGGTGACTGTGAAGCCTCAGTTGAAGTATAAGTCCTGGGATTGAAGGAGTCATGGAAGGAGGTTGAGTCTTGCCACCGTGTGGCAGAGTAAGAGCCCCTGAAGAGAGCAGATGAGAGGCTCTCAGTGAGTGTTCAGTACAGTTGCAGTGGAAACCACAACATTTTGCAGATGTCAGTACCATGGGGTTACCAACAAGAATAGCAGCAGCTGTGAGACATGCTATATGTGCTTTGGAGTCTATGTATCACTCTCCAGTGTCTGATACCTAGTTTTACTATGCTGGACTTTCGTTTTGCTTTGTTCTGAATGAGACTATGCCATACTTCTTCCTGCTAGGGACGTGAAAGCATTTAACGAATTTATCATTTTATAGAAATCCACAGTAATTGACTTGGAATTTTAGGGGGGAAAGGTTATTTTAGAGTAACTGACCATCAAAGTCTTTGAATTTGCAAAGATTGTGGGACTTTTGAAATCGGGATAGGTTTAGTATTGATATAATGATATTACTATGGGACATTGGGGATGAATGAGAATGGGAAGCCTGTAGTTGGATAACGATGTGTGTGTGTGTCAAGCTGACAAGAACTCACTTGTCCTGGCTGGTTTTTGTTTTGTTTTGCTTTGTCAGCTTGGCACAGGCTTGATTTATGTGAGAGACAGGAACAATAAAGAAAGTGTCTCTGTAAGATTGGCCTACGGTTGAGACTGCGCAGGATTTTCTAAGGACTGATGTGCCCAGCCCACAATAGGAGTTTCTGCCCCTAGGGGAACCCTGGGGAACCCTGGAGGATGTAGGGAAGGAGGCTGAGTGAGGCAGGAAGAGGAGTTAGTGACTGGGCGTCACCCCTCCATTGCCTCTGATTCAGGACTATTGCCATATGACCTCAAGAAACGTCAGCAAACAGCCTCACTCTGCTGCTTTACTGAGACACACTCCTCCCATTGCCATGGCCTTTCTGACAGGATGTACCGTACCATGTCAAACCATAGACCCCCATAACTCACTTTCTCTGTAGCTGATTTTGATCAGGGCTTCTGGTCAGAGAGAGAAGAAAGCAATCCATATGCATCCAGCACAGTGGCACCAAAAACACACAGACTTTACAACTTATCTTTGGAAAACAAACAGCAAAACTTATTCTGTGTTTTTAAGTTACTATGATAAGGTAGGCTAGATGGTGTGGCTCTAGTCCAAGTACTTGGGGTTGATGTGGAGGGACTGGAAGCTTAAAACATAGCCATACTATAGAGCAAGTCCAAGTTCAGCCTGGAATGCTTAACAAAAGACCAGTTTAAGAAGAGTTTAAAGGGAGGTAGTTGCCTAGTTCCATAGTAGATCATTTTTCTAGCAAGTATACATCCTTAGATTCAATTTCCACTAAGCATGCATGCATGCATGCACGTGCATATGCATACACACACACAGATTATGAAATCCTTAGTCAACATTACTTAATTAAAGCTGCATCTAAAGCTAAAATCATGCAAAAACAATGAACTTACATGGTTATTTTACATTATATGGATTGCAGTACAAACAGCATTCAAACACAACATGTGAAACACTTCCTTTGTGTTAGGACTAAACTGTCCTGGTTCAATCATATATAGCATACACAACATACCAGTTGAGTCACTGTCGCTACCAAGGTGCCCCCAGAACTGTCTCCTGAAATGCAGATGCGAGAAGGATCCACTCCATATTTTTCAAGAACTGTTTCCTGGAGAAAGAACTTGACCACAAAAATGCAATCTTCAAGGGCAGCTGGGAACAGATACTGAGGAGCCAATCTGTAGCTTTAGAGGTAAATCACACAGAAAAGCAACCAAGAATTCAGAATTATGCATATGCACCCAACTATCTCTCAGTTTTAGCAGCAGATATATAAGTAAAATTTGGCCCTACTTTGAACCTTTAAAGCCATCACCTAAACCTGGTCTTCCTACTAGCTTCTACTTTAAAACAAGGAGTAATTTCTGGTTAATGTGCTTTTGGTGTTGGTTCAACGATAAGAAGATGAGGTGGCACATGTCATCACCCACATAAGGTTTGTAAACATCGTCAGGCTCTCAATAGAGTGGGTGGCTCAAAGGCAATTCAGGATCACTGATTAGATTGTTCAAGAAATTTAAAATCAGGAAATCTGAGAGCAGAGTATTGGTAGTTTTCCTTTAATTGAAAATTTATTTAGGTCAAGTTCCACAAAAGTGTAGAATCTAATTTCGTAAGCTTGAGGATTTGAATTAAAGTTAAAAGTTTGATACATAAGTATGTAAGGTATATCAATACATATTACTAGAAAACGTGATTTTTTTTTGGTTTTATGAGACAGGGTTTCTCTGTATTGTTTTGGAGGCTGTCGGTCCAGCCCGGCCTCGAACTCACAGAGATCCGCCTGCCTCTGCCTCCCGAGTGCTGGGATTAAAGGCATGCGCCACCACCGCCCAGCAGAAAATGTGATTCTTAGGACAAAATACAATCGTAATTTTTACCCTCTCCTCCTCGCCCCCTCTCACTGTGTGTTCTGTTGTACAGTCACACCACAATTGAGCCTTCTCATTTTTTAACTCTCACTATTATCCATTAACACATCAGTTGGAATTCTTGAGTTATTCACAATTCTATAATAAACAATATTAGACAGATATTACTTGTGAAGTTTTAAATTTTAAGAAGTGTCTAGGTGTTTAAAGTAACATAATATCAACCATGCAACATCAAAACATGATTATTGTCCAAGGTAAAGCACAAAAATTACTTAAAATAGCTTTAGAATCTTTAAAGAAGATGTAACTTATTTTATTTTTAAAACTTTTAAATTATAAGGTGATAAAGTTGATTAAATTATAATGTAAAGGCAAACTGTTGTTACTACAGTTAGAAATTAGAAATTTCTCAAAATTAGTAATTCTGCTTGCTTTAAGGAGGTGGCTTTGAGCAGGACAGTAATGAATCTGCTAGTCCGTTCTACTTGACCCTATTATACTGTCAGTCAAAATTCCTTATAATGTATTAGCACAAATCTACAATTTTGTAAACCCATTCCTATTCTATAAAATTGGCATGGATAAGCCAATTCTCTCTAACCTCATGATGGGGTATATAAGAAGTACAGAATACACCCAATAGGTTGTAAAGAAAAAAAAAACATGTATTTAACTTTCTTGTATATTGTTGGACATTTGAGCCAAAGTCATGAGATACTAAGAGCTGTCATTGGAAATATTTTTGAAATCTTTGAGTGGTCTGTGGTGATATATTGTTTATTATTTAATAACACCACTGAAGATGCAAAGCCACAGCCATAGATCCAGACAAGGGTGATAATACTTTTTATTCCACCACCCACAGTAGTTAGATATAGAAGCTAGGCAGTGGTGTCACACACCTTTAATCCCAGGACTCAAGAGACAAGGCAGATGGATCTCTGTGAGTTCAAGGCTACCCAGGGTTACATTAGAGTGAATCACTCTAAAAGAGAAACAGCTCACACAAAGTAGTTCTCGACACTTGGGACCCCATGCATTTAATTCCAGCTCCTGAGAAGTATATAAGAGAGGAGCAGGACATTCAGTATTCAGTCTCAGAGATTTATTCTCCAGTCATGCTGAGGACAGGACAGTCCTTTCAGCCTGAAGTAGAGGTAAGAGCTAATGGGCAGCTACTTTACTTTTCTGATCTTCAGGTTCGAATCTCAGTGTCTGTCTCTGGGTTTTTATTATTCATTTTACAGTGGTCGCAATATTGGTCCTAATTAATAATGCTGGACCCAGTTCTTACTACCATTGTTAAATAAAATCCCACCACACCTCAGGTATGTTGAGTAATACACTGCAGGCATATTACCTGTGTAGGCTTTATGTTTTCAAAGCTACCACTGCTTTACTGGCAAAGATGCTCACATCTCTGCCTCTTACAGGTGACCACCATTGCATAAATTAAAGAAAAATTGGGCCATGTTGAGAAAATGTTGATATTGTAATGCTAAGAAAAATTTTAGAAACCAAAATTTCCTAGCAGCAATCCAGCCACCATTGAGGATTGTGTTACTTGTACTATAAACCAAGCTAATGGTAGGAGGGCAAGGATCACAGTAATAAAGATTGCCAGTCTCTTACTCTGGTGCTATAACAACAGCATCAAGTCTGTTGGCTGTCAGTCGGTTCAAGGAATCGTAGCACAGCATCTCTGAAATGAAAAATTAAATATAGAGCTATGTAAGTTCCAGACAATTGAAACCCAGACACATCTGTTAACACAGAAATTTGAATTGTGACTGTTTGATGGAAACCGCTAAGTCAACACATCTGTAACCTTCCTTATCTCCTACGCACTAAATCACTTCTAAGCCAGGGCATAAGACAAAAATCTTGTTAGGTCACAATGAGAGAGGCTTGTTCTGTGTGCCGTGATGGCCAGGCATTTGGGCTCCCTCAGAAAATTTCCTCTGGCTTCAGTGTTGCTAGCTTCACATGACTCCAGTCACAGAACATAGTGCTCTGTTACTGCCTATGCACTGTTCATTCCTGGGGTCAGTTATATTAGGGGGAGGCTCGTGACTGAGCATTACTGAAGGAAACCACACCAGGCAATATTTGTACAGACAGTAACCCATAAACAATGGTGAAGGCCATAGCCCCAAAGCTTTAATAGTAACAAAGTATCTTTTCATTGAATTTATACTTATTTCAGGAGATGAAAAAGGGCGTGTCTTGACTGTGTAAGAGTAGCCATGTCCATATCCATAAGACTGCCTATAAATGATAAATCTAGAAGCAAGTTGAAGGTCATACTATAGTCACCACTATGGTATTCATAAATTTAGATAGTCACCATAATTAATCTTTAAAGATCTTTTAGAATTCTCCTACTTTTTAATAAAGATCTTTCAGTTTACCTAAGGCTAAATATACTTCTTGGAGTAATCTTTAATGTATTTTTTCCCACTGTGAGAGGCTTAGGCTTTAAAAGAAACTCTAAGTTGCCTTTCTTGAACATAAGTGAAAATTTTAATTGTAGTTAAAAACCAATCAACACATTCTTGCTTGCGATATTTCCTACAGAAATTAACTATGGACTGAATCCAGTGATTGTACAAAGAGGTGGGGAAAAATTCTAAATTTATTATTACTGAAATCTTAACAGAAAGCAAAGTCAAAATTTGTCAGCAATGGCATTCATTACATAAAACACGAGCATGACTACTGTCAAATCTTCAAGGGAAAAACGAAGTCATTGCATGACAAGGTGCAACCAGGTCATGATAATGCATAGAGTTCCATTTCATATAGCAAATGAAAACAAAACTAAAATACACATTAAAAATACACTTACTGTAGCTCCCTAAGCAGAAGGCGCCACCATGAATGTTAATGACAGCAGGTCTGAGTCTGTCAGACTTCTTTTTCGGCAAAAACAGACGGACAGGAATGCCGCCAAAGTCTGTGTCGATCACTGTAATGTTTTCGTCCGAAACTGGCTTTGTGTTTTGAAGGTTCATCAACCCAAAGAAAATATCTTCAAATTTCATAATACCCATATTTTCAAATAATGTGGCCTATCAAAACAACATCCAAATGTATGCATTAATTTTTTAAAATTTTAGTAACACTAAATGTACATAGAGATACAACGGAAAAAAGGAGTAGGTGGTGTGATATTGCTTCACTGTGCATAACACTTTCCTCATCACAGGTGAAATGGACATCTCACAAGACTGGAAAGATATGGAAACACAGAAGCAGGAGGGTATGGCCAAAAAACAGTGTCTTCAGACATGACAAGACAATCACACTTATAAACTCATAGATGCTCTGGTTACCTGCACATGACCAAATGTGAACATAATATCAAATAATACATAAGTATACATTGGGGGTTTGTAACATAAGAGGCCCTAACACCAACTCAGGAGCCAGTGACAGTTAATGGCTACTGGGGATGGCAGAACCAGGTACCTTCAGAGAAATGGCCCTAGGTGTGTTGTCCTGGCTCCAGTACATGGCTCTACATCCATACACATATAGGGAGCACTAACTCACCATAGTGAGTTATAAGTAATATTTTTGAAAACAGACATGTTGTTGAGAGGGCTATGCAATAAGAAGGGTCTGGGAGAAGTTGTAAGGAAAAGTAGGGATAGATATGATCAAAAGAAGATAGATGATAGATAGATAGATAGATAGATAGATAGATAGATAGACAGATAGATAGGTAACACAGAAAGACAGATCACTAGATATATATTTTACTTATATTTTCAAAACAAAATAGTTTTAGTCAACCACAAAGGTCAATAAAATCAGAAAACATTAGCATTTTAGAAAAGTATGAAAGTATTGTAAGACTTGAAAGACAAAGAGACTTATTACATGTCCCAACATATGGACTATTATTTATACTATAGAAATATTAATAAATTAATCCATATAGGACCTGAAAATGATTGAGTCAATCAACATTTCATGATGGATGAAGGGATTGTTCATGAGAAACAACCCAAACTTCAGGAAATAGTAACAGTTAATGGTTTTGAGGTGGGGAAATGCCAATTTCTTCAGAGGTCTAGAGAGTTATTCTTGCTGTGGTACATAATGTTTTCCTATTTTAAGGAAGGGAACTAATTAGAATAATTGATTCTCACAAAGAAAGAAGACATAAAAGTAGGCAGAAAATTTTTAGAACAGTTTCAGCAGAAGAGGGGGAATTCATGAGAATTCATGAAACCATCAAACAATAAAAGCTCATAAATGTAAAAAAAAAAAGAAACCTCAAGCACACAGTATTTGAAAACAAGGTAATCTCATTTGATACCACAAATTTTTGGCACTATATTTTCCACTGGGTTAGGTTCTTCTTAACTTGTTAGTTTCATCTAGAAATACTGATAATTCTTGTTTTGGTAAGCTTAGTATGTATAAATATCTATTTGCTGGTAGCAGTGCTTTAATTCACTTTAGAGAGCCACTATCTCTATTTGTTAAAGTATTTTACTGGGCACAAATTGATTAGCAATTTATTAGTTAAGTCAGATGCAATCCCAAGTTAGTTTTAATCTGCTTGGAGAGTTTATGTTGAGTACAGAGTTAAAAAGTAATGAGAATAGTTAAAGATAATTAATTTGTTAATCACATCAGAAAGTGGATATTTTAAAATTTTTATCCACCAATCTTGAATATATTTAACAAGTATAAATACATTGTCTCTTTAACTTTTTGATAGCATCACTGATAGACTCCCAAAACAGTGACAAAATAGTCTATATTCTGGTTAGAAATTTGAAGGAGCCCAGGTGTCTTAGTTATTTATCTATTGCTGTGATAAAACACTATAACTAAGGCAATTCATAAAAGAAAACACTTAATTTGACATGTAGTTTGAGAGTGTTAGAGTCCATGATAGCAGAGCAAAGAAACATCTAAGAACTTAGTTCTTGATCCAAAGCCATGAGGCAGACAGGAAGCATTGGGAATCGCAAAAAGTCTTTTGAAACCTGAAAACTGGTGTCCAGTGACACGCCTTCTCCAAATCCTTCCCAAACAATTCCACCACCTGGGGTCCAAATATTAAATATATGACAGGAGCCAACGAGGACACTCTCATTCACATCACCACACCACAGTAGTCTGAATACCCATGATACAAACCAGAGTTACCTGATGGAAAAAAGAATAAAGCAAATGATGCTATTTTCCTGTGGGAAACAAAACCAAAGAAGTAAATTGGAGATTATACGCATCTGAAGTCAATGATTTTAAAACAACTATTATAATTAGGTTCCATCATGCAAAGGTGAATCTTCTGGGAACAAAGTGACTACCAGACAACCTTAAGAAATGAAGTGTACTAAGAAGGACTCAATGAGAAATTCATAGAACTAGGAAACGATATATCCAAATCACAATATTCATAAGAAAACTTCAATAATAAAAGGGAGATAGCAAAAAGGATTCATTGAACTTGAAAATATATACAAAAATATACAATCTGGGATAAAAACAGTAACTGAAATTAAGGAAGCAAATCTAAGATCTATGGGACAATTCTTAATGATCTGACATTAATATAATTGGAGAAAGGTGGAATGTTGCAGCAGAAAAGATATAGTTGATGAACCAACTTCCAAGATTTTAAACGATGTATATTTATATATCTAAAAACATCATCAATATTAAAAAAAAAGACAAGCCAGACATTGGTGGCACATGACTTTAATTTCAGCACTCAGGAGGCAGAGGCAGGCTGATCTCTGTCTGTTAGAGACCAGCCTAATCTACAGGATAGCTTCGAAAACAACACAGAGAAACCCTGTTTCGAACCCCCCCAAAAAAAGAAAAAAAAAGGAAAGAAAGGACAGTCAAGGAAAAGTGTGACTTGGTAGATATAAGCGCTTTCCACCAAAGCTGGCAATTTGAGTTCTATCCCCAAGCCCCACATAATGAAAGGAAAAACTGACTCCACAGTTGTCCTTTGACCTCTAAGCATATGTATGCTACAGCAGGAACCTATACCTATGTATGCAAATACACACACTGAATAAATAAATTTAACAAGTGCTTCTTAAACCTTACAGGAAACAAATATTCTGAAAAAAATCACAATGAAAGTGCTGAGCAATAATGATTTTTATTTTAAATTACCAGAGCACAAAACACAAAATGCTTGAGAAGACCTGCAAATGGCTTTATTTTGTTAAAAAAAAATGCACGTCGGAGAACAGTTGACTGTGTGATAAAAGAATACCCCTAACAGCATAGATCTGGATGTATGAAGAAGATATATTTTTAAAATAGGATACAGGAAAAATAAACAATTGACGCAACCGAGAAGTCTACAAGAATTAATCTTCACCAGATTTGTTCTTGGTAGATACAGGGAAGGGAGTTCCTGAGGGAAAAGGGGCTGACACCAAATACATTGTCATTCAAGAATCAAAAAGCAACAAGGGAAACAAGTGTATTCTTCAGAGATGTGTTGAATTACTCATAACATCCAAAAAAACGGGTAAATATTGAGGATAGATCAAGTTGTAGTATATGGAACACCCCACACCTTTAATAGGAGAGAATAAATGTAAAAGAGTCTACAAGGATAAAATAATATCTTCTATAAAGGGAGTCACTATTAAACCTATGCCATGTATAAAAAGTAAAGAGCAGACATGTAATTCCTAGCATGATAAGTCATGGTTAAGAGTAATGCAGCCCGTGTTGTATATTGGGAAGTCAAATAAGATAGGATTAGTCAACCTAAGAAGTCAAGAAGGAGTGTGTTTCACACAGTTGTTCCTATCTCAATAAAATTATAAAAATAAAGAATTGGAAGAAAAAATAGCCCAGCTTACAATAGAAAAATACATTTATTGACAACAGTGTATTCCACATGATGCGAAGAATGGCAGGAAATAGGAGTAAGAAACAGCATATTTAAATAGCAAATACCAATAGCATTTCAGAATCAGTTGTAATCATAACAAAGATGATAACAAATATGAATAGATAATGTAAATGATACTTCTATGTAAGCCTTTTAAATAATGAAATGCATAGCATATCTATAATCTATAAGACATAGCTCTGAAATGTATAAAAATGAAAGTGAGACCTGAGAAATTATGATACATAAATAATAATTAAAAGAGCCACACTGGCTGTAAAAATGTTAAGCAAAATACTTATCACTTTAACTCCCAGTGTAAGCTTGTCAATCAAGGGAATGATCATTTAAATAGCTGTCATAATTTGTTCATATGCATCCATGTATAAGGAAAACAATATACAATTACATGTTTTATAATCCTATTTTACATTTGAGGACACAAACGTCAAATTTCATAATTATATCATTTTCATCTTGATGTTAAGTACTGAGTCAGTTTAGTGATATAATGAACTACTCAAGGATGCTGGTGGAACAGTTATAAATTGGCACTTGTTCACTTGTTTTATCTGTTGTCCAGTCAACAGTGTGAGGAATCAGGAAACCCAAACCAGATAACCCAACTAGCTTTGAACTCAGAAGAAAATGTGTCAGCTCTTTTAATATTAGTTTAACTGTCAACTTCATACAACCTAGAATCACCTTAGGAGAGTCTCTTTAAGGACCTCCCTAGATCATGTTGGCTGGTGAACATGTTGATGGGGGAAAAGTCTTGAGTGTATTAATGTGTGAATACACAGCCTTAAGGTAGGTGATGGGGGGGGGACCCTGATAGCTAGCTAAGTACAATCACGCAAGCACTCATTTCTCTCTACTCTTGATTGATAATGGGATGGCATATCAAGACCCAACACCTTGATTTTCCTGGAATAATGGACTGTATTCTATGATTCGAACTAAAATAATCACTTTCTCAACTAGTCTACTTTTTACCAGGATATATTATCACAGACTGTCACATGAAAGGAGGACAGTTGTCTAGCATGGGAAGATGGCTCTCCTTCTCCAGCACAGTAGGCAGCGTCTTCCTCATCTACCATACCTTGCAGAGAGGGTCTTCTCTGACCATTCACTGCTTGTTCCTGCCTTCTCTCTAAACATGCCTATTGCCACAACAACCATAATGCTTCCAAACGGAGGCACATTTTGGTAAAAGATGACATGGCATATTCTTGAGTTCAAACTTTGGAAGTGTCATCATAAAAATCTGAATTCCAGTACCACAGACCTAAAGATGGGTGACAGCAGTAGCAGGTCTCAATACGTGAGCTTTGAATACCTGTGTGTCTCTGAGACATGTCAGGGAGCATGCGTCAGCCAGCACACTTTCTACTTAAACAGAAATGTTCTCTGCTTGTGAATACACAGCACAGCTTCCAGTGGATTTCACAGATGGGATGTTACAGCAGACTAACACAAAAACAGGTAGGATAGCCAGCTATCTTCCCCCCCCAAGTAATTGTAAAATTGTATAAAAATAGAAATAAACCCTACTATCATTTATCTGATTATTAAAATACTAAAATAGCACTTATGTAAACCTGTAATAACATCATTGCCTTTGAGTTAAATATTAACACACTTAAACTTGATGAATGTAAACCAAATAAAAACTTCTTTTAGCACGAGAGTACATAGTTTTGAGTACAGGAAGCTTAAGAAGTATGTAAAAAGGAAAAATACACTAAAGCAGTAGAAGATTAAAAATATATCAGAAGTTTAAAATATGAATGATTAATACATGTGAGTTTAATAAAATGTATGAGCCATGGGTTTCTAAAAAGCATCAAACATATTCAAGCATCCAAACAATTACTCAAGTTTTCTTTTAGGGATGTTAGTTATGTTTGCTGTCAATATATAATTAACTTTAGCAATAGCATCTTATAAACATTGTGTACCCCACAATAGACAATAAAGCATGTTAATGATTAGCTAAAATGTTAGCTACATAAACTATAATATTATTTGGTAGGCATAGCATTAAAGAAAAGCAAATTCTTTTTCAAATTACCAACTAAAGGAAACTTCATATATTTGTAACAAGGCTTCCCAATTTCCCAGGAAAAAAATATTACCATAAGTGATGATATTTTCATAACAGCATTTATGATTCTCACTTTCCAGGGTTCTTCAATATTTTCTGGTATGGGTGCATAAATGTAATAAGCAAAAAGAAGACAAGATAATCCCAAGAACAGAGTTTTGCACCTCATGTTAATCCTCTGACTTTCTCTGTGTTGACAGTGAAAAGTCACCTCATATACAGATTGCTAAATAGTAAGGCAAAGGTATCAGGCCCAGTCTTCAGATTAAATTACAATAAAGCAACACTCATTGAATATTCAGTTGTAAGATCAGGCCAACTTTGTGACAGGTAAAGAAACTGTGCTCCTTTGTTGAACACAACACACCATGAAAAATCTGTTGGAAATTTATGTCAGAAGCAAGACTGTTACGAAAGTATCAAGCTCTTCTACATCAGCGAAACACATCTTAGTGGGACTCTCAGCACAGCACAAGAAAGTTAAAAATCTATTTTCTTATTTCGTTTTACCAAAAGTAGTGACAAGAATTTAAAAATAATTTCGAGTAACACTTAATCAACCCAAAGGCTAAAGGCTATAGCACAGATTTTTTTCAAAAAATAAAATATGCCATGTCAAGTGAGCAGTAGACTAGAAGACAGGAAACTAATTGCTAGTCCAAACCACACAATTAATTTGCTTGATGCAGAAACTTTTAGGCAGTATAAGTTATACATCAACATTAAATTTAGAAAATTCATATCGCTACTTGCATGCACAATGAGAGCATTATATGTGCATTAAGAAACATTCGTTGCAACATTGTGTTACTTTCTGTATTAAGCAAGAATTAATTGATTAAGTAAACCTCTCATAAATTCATTCTTTTATGAAATGTCCTTGTTCTTTCTCGCATTGTTCTAAGCTCTGTCTACCCACATCATCACAGAATAAATTCCTTATTGGAGGCCACTTGCCAGTTTCTACAAGAAACTTGAGTCATAATTAATCGTTCTATGTTGCTCTTTGCTTTAATGTTTCCCGCCCCTGCTTTGATATCCACCAGAAGAAAAGGATGTAGAGAGCAAAAACAACCCTTGTGGACACCACACAGATAAGCACTGCAGACCCAGGAAAATTACGCACACAACTCACCTCTTCAGTGGAATCGGGTGCATAGCCTCTCTTCCTGAAACACTGGAAATGATGGGGTTTTCACTCTGGTAATCCTTGATTTACTGTCTGATGAGACAGGCTCTGTCTCTATCTCCCAGAATTGATGTTTTTTGCTTAAGGCTTCCCCCTCCCCTAAATCTTGAGCATTGCTTTTAGACCACAAACCCCACTCTCATGAGTGAGGTCACTTGTGCTCTACAGCAGCCTAAATGACTTCTGTGTCATCTTATCAACCAGGTCAGTCCTGACATCTGCAGATACCGTGCTCAACTTAACCAACTTACCTAGATCCGAAATCTTGGGCACTATCTCTGAGCCAACAGTAGCCATTCTTGTGAAAGAAGTCCTAGTCCAGCACCAATTACAATAAAATCAGGCTGCGCCAAGTTTCGTTCTTGTCTCTTTGTGGACAATTTTTCCCCTGCCTGTTGTAAAGCCTGCAAGGGAATCACCAAAAAAATAAAATAAAATCAGAAAAAGTCATTCTTCCAAAGTATTTGGGGAAATATAACTATATGGATCATGGATAGAGTATGCTGAGCAGAGCAGCTTATACTTATGCATTTAGGAGTATATATGACTAAGTATTGACCATTCTGCTCCTTATTAGACCAATCAGGTACTTTAAGGAGACAAAGCAACACAGATTCACAGGCTTAAACAAATATAACAAAAAAGATTGCAGCACATCCTTTCATCATTGAACAAATATTCCACAGCAAAATTAATCTTCCACAACGTTGCCCTGATAGGGTATGTGTATAGCTGGAGCTTCTTTCCAGGCTGGTCCCACAGGAAATTAGCTCCAAATAAACCCACAGAGACATATAAATTATAAACTCTTTGGCCTATGGCCCAGGACTCTTATTGACTATCTATTCATTATTAACTCATTTTTTATTACTCTAAGTGTTTCCACATGGTCTTGTCTTACTGGAGAAGGGCCTGGACCTTGGCTATGTGGTGTGTCCTCAAAACCTCTCTCCACCTCCTTTTCCCAGCATTCTCCTCATCTGGTAGCCCTGCCTATACTTCCTGCCTGGGTACTGGCAAATCAGTGTTTTATTCATCAACCAATAAGAGAAACTTATATACAGAAGGACATTCCCCCGATCAGATGGATGCAATATTACCTAACAATAGAGATATCTGACTGCCTGGACAATCACCCACAGTTGCTCTGTAATGTTGGGGCATCCATCTTCAGCCTACAGGCCTAGAATGTCTGGAAGGCTTTTCAGTGAAGCAGGAAATTCCAAGGGGAAGGACTGTGCCAGTCTGTACTGGGGAAGTTGTTTAGTCATCCTTCCTCTGGTCCTGCAGACTCTGCTCCTCTGCGAAGTAGGGATCTTGAGGGATTGACCCACCTTGTCTTAGCAAAATTCACTGATCTGTTTTCTGGGTCCTGCCTGTGCAGTCTGTACAGCATGGTGTCAGAGGTCAAGAAAAAAGCAGGTTCTTGCCAAAATGGCTAGCCTTGCCACATCGAAGGCAAACTTCACGTGGATTTTCTTTGATTGTAATCATCCTTTTATGAAGTAAATTGGTGCTTCCAGGACCAGACTGTCTCATGGTCACGAAAAGCCCCATGTGAACAAAACATTATAGGTCTACAAAGTGTTTCTGTCTAACGTATGTGTTTGTAGGATCTTGAACGCATACCTAACATTATCTACGTATTTGATTGTTACAGATAAGTAACTACTGACCTGTGTTTCTTTATTATTCTGAGTAGTTGGTAATAATAGCTTTCAAAAACAAGCACATTACCTTACAGTTTTAAATGAAATGTATAGGCAAAATACCTTAAGCAGGAGGAGAAACATATGTACAATATGTTGTAACAAAAACTAACCTTAAATTTGTATCAATATACCAAACTCCTTGTCAATGCAGAACATCTGAGAATAATAGTTGTGTTTTTATCCCGTATTGCTACTTTCCCAGAAATGATACAAACACTCTCTTGGTCTAAGGAGGCTCCCTGACCTTGTCTGGGGCTCTCCCCATCCTCCCCTGGTGGATGAATAGGCAGAGGTAGGTGATGCATCCTTTGATGTATCACCACCAGCTGCAGAGGGAAGTGCTGCTCACAGGCTAATTGAATAGTTTGCTTTGCCTTTATCCCCTGGTTTGCTTCCTGCCATTGCTCCTTGGGTGTAAGGAGTCCAGAGCAGATTTCCTCTCTCTCCTTTATAGCAAGCACTACGTGATTAGTTTAAAATTTCAAAAGTGAGCACAGTCATCTACTGCACAACGAGGACTGAGAGGTGAGTGACCACCTTCCCTTCTGGGGCAAGCAACCTCTCAGGTCTAGGTCCTGGAACAAAACCCCAGGAAAATCCCACACCCATCTCAGCCATATTCACAGATTCTCACGAAAAACTACTGCAGACAAGCGGCACCAACAGCACCCCCCCCACACACACACACACTTGGCCCCAAACCCACCCATCCCCCACAACTGCTCCCTGGGGCACAGACATCTACATCACAGAGAGGATTGAGAGGATCTGATCAAAAGGCAAAGACACTGCCTGTCACAGGAGGAAGAAGAGATGGGTAGATGTCAATGCAAGAATGCAGCCAACAACCTAAAGAGCAATACGGCAACACCAGAAACTAATGGTACTACATTAAGAACACCTGAATATCCCAGTGCAGAAGAAGCAGCAGAAAACTACCTTCTGCCAGACAGAAAATTAACAAAGGAATAAGGGATCTATAAGATGTTATCTCTCAAATGAGCTTAACAAACATCTGTAGAACCTTGCACACAAGCTCAAAAGAATACATCTTTATCTCAACACCCCATGGAACCTTCTCTAAAATTGAACACATACTGGGTTGCAAAGCAAATCTCCACAGATACAAAAAAAACTGAAATAACCCCCTGCATCTTATCAGGTCACTATGGCTTAAACGTTAGAATTCAACAATAACACAGATTCTAGAAAGCCTACAAACTCATGGAAACTGAATGATGCCCAATGTAATCACTGCGGAGTCAAGGAAGAAATAAAGAAATTAAAGATATCCTAGAATTCAATTAAAAGTGAATGTACAACATATATAAACTTATGGAACACTTTGAAAGTAGTGCTAAGAGGAAAGATCATAGCACCAAATGCCTACATAAAGAAGTTGGAGAAATCCCACACTAGTGAATTAACAAAACACATAAAAATCTCTAGAACAAAAGGAAGCAAACTTACACAGGAGGAATAGAAATAATCAAATTGAGGACTCAAATCAATAAAATAGAAACAAAGAGAAAAATAGAAAGAATCAGTGAAACAAAGAGTTGGTTCTTTGAGAAAATCAACAAGATAGACAAACCCTTATCCAACCTAACCAAAAGGCAGAGAGAGAATATCCAAATTAGCAAAGTCAGAAATGTGAAGAAGGGGGCATAACAACAAACACTAAGGAAATCCAGAGTATCATCAGATCATACTTTTAAAACCTGTACTCCACAAAATTGGAAAATTTAAAAGACATAGGAAGTTTTTTGGATACGTTCCATATACCAAATTAAATAGAGACCAGATAAGCAATTTAAATAAACCTATAACCCTTAAGGAAATAGAAGCAGTCATTAAGTCTCCCAACCAAGAAAAGGCCAAGATCAGATGGCTTCTCCACAGAATTCTATCAGAATTTCAAAGATCTAAGTCCAATACTCCACAAATTATACCACGCAATAGAAGCAGAAGGAATATTACCAAATTCCTTTTATGAGGCTACAGTAACCCTGATACCCAAACCACACAAAGCTACAACAAAGAAAGAGAACTACAGGCCAATCTCCCTCATAAACATTGATGCACAAATACTCAATAAGATACTGGTAAACCAAATCCAAGAACACATCAAGAAAAAAAAATCATCCAGCATTACCAAGTAGGCTTCATCCCAGAGATGCAGGCTTGGTTCAACATATGGAAATCTATCAATGTAATCTACCATATAAACAAAATGAAATAAAAAGTCACATGATTATCTCAATAGATACCAAAAAAGCCTTTGACAAAAATCCAACACCCCCTCATAATAAAGGTCTTAGAGAGATCAAGGATAAAAGTAACATATCCAAACATAATAAACTCAATATGCATCA